TTTTAGATTTATATGTGTTTTAAAATCAGGTTTGTTAACTTGTTTATTACATGCATTTGATTGTTTCCGTATCCTCTTTTTCAAACCACAACTGTTCTCAGAATATTTCACCTGAGCTATTTACTTTGGTATCTCTTGCAGAAATGTTTGCGGTTTAATCCAGATGCCACTGTGTGGAAGGCCAAGCAGCAGGTGCTGTGCTCCCTGACCGAGTCTCTGCGAGACGTCCTGAACTATGGTCTGTTCCAGCCTGCCACGGACGGCCACGACGCCAAGTTCCTGGAGGAAGAGAGGCTGCTAAAAGAGTACCCACAGTCCTTTGAGAAAGGTGTACCATATTTGGAGGTAATAACTGTGTTTCATGAAACACCGAGTGTAATACTAGCTTTTTGCCCACAAGATGTCACTTTTGTGCAATAAAACCGATTCTGATTTGTTTCCTATTAACAGGATTTTAAAATAAATCTAATGATGTGTTCAGGAAAAGTCAGAAAAGTTTAATTACCTCGGCTAATTAATCTAAAGTTCATGCCAAGCTGCTGACTATTTATGAAATCTTATATTGATTGTCACCCAGCAAAGCTGCTAGTGCATGACACTGTTAGGTAGATTATAATTATAACTAAAGTAAAAGTATTAGAAAGTAATTATTATTATTATGATTATTAGTTTTCCAACTTTTTAAGCTGGAGAGTATTTAAACTGCTGTGACGTCAGGCTGTTTCTTCCCCATTTCTTGTCTTCGGTGCAACAGAGAAGAAAGCCTGCGTAGAAAACCAGATAAATCGTCTCCAGGCTCTATTTTGTGGATCTAGGCCAAAAGCTAAGAGAATTGAGGACAAAGGCCCTCTGTGTTAGGATTAACTCTTGGTTTCCTTTCTCTTTTTCTGTCACTGGTTTAGTTTCGTTATAAAACCAGGGTGTACAAACAAACAAATCTAGATGAGAAGCAGCTGGCCAAACTGCACACCAAGGTATGAAACTTCCAGATCGCTAATATGTGATATGTGTTACAGTTTGCAGCTCCATGTTTGTGTAAGTGTCACTAAGCATGCAGTGGTGCATGTGTACATCTGTGCAGATTTATGCAGGATGCATTTGATTGTTCAGTAATGTTTTATATATGTTACTTTATTGTATTGAAATAAATAATAAAAGCTTAACTTAGACAAACAAACCAATGACATAAAATTGACAAAAACCCTTTTGCAATTGTAAAATCTACTATGTGGATAGCTTTTCCTGAACCTGCTTTTGCTGTTTTTATTTTCACCAAACTAACCAATTTTTTCTGAATATTTATCAGTTACACGTGGGAAGTTTTTGTTTTTATTTCTTTTACATGTAGGCCAGCCTGAAGAAGTTCATGGATTACATTCAAACCAGCGCTGTGGACAAGATGGCCAAGTTCTTAGACAAGGGCCTCGATCCCAACTACCAGGACTCTGACACTGGTGGTAAGGATTCCTTCCACTCCCCCGACTGCACACGAGCACTTATTAGTTATTTTATCTACAGGGAGCAAATAACATTTAACAGCTGTCATGCAGCCCAATTTAAAAAGGTGTTTTCACAAGATAAAACAAACACATTTATAAAAGAGTTGGTGATGATCTCTCTGTTACAGTCAGCCAAAACGGGAACTCCAAATATGCAAGCAGCTAAGAAAGCACAAAGTTAGCCAGCAGCTATGGAACCTGAAGCTCTCCTGTATGGACTCTTTAAACTGTTTTCAATTCCTCCCCCTCTGTTTTCTGCCCTCAGCTCTGCAGTATGTTGGCCTAACACTTTGTGAGGGATCCGAGCCAGTGCTGTTCACAATTTTGGTGGCTTTTCCTAGATCCTGTTAGTGCTCAGGGGGGCACAGCAGACGGCTCATTTACAGTTTGGGTGTGCTGCTCTGTGTCGCTCCAGCCGTTCGGGGAGCAAGTGTCAAAACACAAAACACAGCCTGTCGTGATGGGTGTGAAACACGCTCCCGGCGCACGACACAGGGGGGAGACAGAGAGCCTCGATGAGCCTCCCTCACAAACATGCTGTTCCTGTACTGCATTCATGGTTTTTAGTCATGTTAAAGTCTGCAACAGCTATCTAAATGGGCTGGACCTCAACTCTAGGCACTTATTTGAGCAGATATTTTTCATTTCAGTGGTCACTAGAATATAAAAATGAAGAGTGAAAGGTTGCCAGTAAATCACAGGGTTTTACCCTGAAAGATAGAAATAAGGACCCTCACGTCCATACCAATGCCAGTTTAGAAATCAGATGGAATTAAAACTGTTTAAAATGTCTGTGGCGTTTCTCCCTAAATACAGTTCTTTTAAAAAACATTTCCCCCCATAAAAATTACACTTTGTTGTTTTGTTTTTTTTACCATCTTTGCTGGTCTACCATATCATACACTGAACAGAAGCGCAAGCGTGACCATTTTCCATCTGTTTCGTGTCCTGGATACTCTCATCACCCTTTAAAAGAAAAGAAACAAAGATGTTTTTGTACAAACTGCAAGTTTGGATGCTCCACATCCACCAGAGCACTTTAAAATATTAATTCCATTCATTCATTCTCTTCTGCTTATCATTATCAGGGTCGCGGGGGGGCTGGAGTCTATCCCAGCTACCAAAGGGCAGGAGGTAGGGTACGCTCTAGGACAGATCGCCTGTCTGTCGCAGGGCCACTTTAAAATAGTATTCATCATGTCTTGAGGAGAAACTCTTCTCTTACTTTGCCACTAGGATTAAAAAAAATTACAGATTATGTGTTTTTAGTCTGATCAGTGATTCTGCTCTAAGCAGTAGTGAGAGCTAATTAGCTAATAGTGCTGTTGTTTCAGGGTCCTCCTATTCAAGGTTCTGGGGCACAGTAGTCTTTTCTCACTGGGCTGAAAAGGTGTATTTTTAGTAGCGATATATATGTGTATATTTAATGCATGTGATTTAACCACTCCTTGGCATTTTGGCTAAACAAACCTGGTAAAAAATAATTGTGGGGCGGAGCAGGAAAGCATTTGTTTTAGCCCCTGTGATGCGATACCACATGAAAACTAATCCTTTGTTCAAATCTATTGACTGACCACGGCGTTTCCATGTGGAGTCTGTGTGCTCTCTCTGTGCTTATGTGGGTTCCCTCCAGGTATGTTAGGTTAATTGGTGATTCTAAATTGGCCATAGGTGTGAATGTGTCTGTCTCTCTGTGTTAGACCTGCTGCAGATTGTTGACCTGTCCAGAATGTTCCCTGCCTCTTGCACAATGGCAGCTGGGATAGGCTCCAGCTAATCCATGACCTGAATTAGACAGGAGGAAGAAAACGGATGGAGGACTTGTTGTTGGATCCTAGTTTCTCTCCTTCTGCATTAAAGTTTGTGGAATCAAACATATACACAGTATATGACTCTGTGGTTTCAAGAAATGAATTGAATGAGATTTGTTGGTTTAACTGAATTTATTATGAACTGGATTTAGATTTGGGGGTGTTGAAAAAAAGCTGTTTAGTATCAGTCAAAGTCTGCAAAGTAAAATCCTTGTGTCTTGTAATAGCTTCTCCTGCCTTTTGACTTTATGGTTATGTGAAGGTATTTTGACAGGAAGTCCAGGAACAGTGAATGCAGTATTAGTCCTACGCAGACAGGGCAGAGAGGTGATAAAAAGCCTGCAGACAGAGATATATCCAACCCTGTTAATACTTTTTTGACCCGTTTGTCTCCTTGAAACTTTCTCCGTGGGCTTCCAGAAGCCTCACAGAGAATGCCTTCATTTGGACATGAAATAATTCTGCTATAATTAGCCTGGCTCCGGCCAGGACACACACTCATGTCGATCTCTGCCAAGGAAACTCATAAATGGGTATTCCCTGACTCATCCTGACAGTATAACTTCAGAGGAAGCACAGTCAAAACATTTCTCCAAATTGTTTGAACCTGAGATCTACAGAAAGTGTTCAGTGATGAAAGCCTTCAGTTATTTTCCTCTTTGCCAGAAAAATCCCCTTGCAGACGCTGCTGTGTACCCTGTTTCAACTGGGAACACTTTGAATGGTTTTATTCTTGTAGGTGTTGGTGAACTGTCTTTCTGGAAAGGATCAAGTTAGCCACAAAAGTGACACAGCACTTTTTTGACTGCAATAAATAATATTTTGAGCTTCTTTGTTTCTTTATATGACATCAGGATAACGGCAAAACATTAGTGCACTGGCAAAACATTCAGCTGGAAAGTAATAATGTTACCTGTTAGATGAAACTAAAGGCTTTTTTCATTTCCCCTCACACTATCACAGAAAGGAATATAAATATTTGCAGAAGACTTAAAGTTGGCTGATCGGGATGTTGTAATCAGGAAGCAAATTGATGGTGGTGAGATTTAGGATTGTCTAACTTTCATGTTCAAAATAATAAAACTGTTGTCACACATAAGGGGATTTTACTTGTTTATATCTGCCCAAATTCAGCTCACCTTTTTTATTTTAAATTTACATGTTGTCGTACAAAGGTAGTTAA